TTTAATTTGCTGCAAATCAATTGCCCTATCTGAGTTTTCCATCTCAATGAGGATATTTACTTGATAAAATAGTTAAAATAGGCAGACGTGTGAACTAGAAATGATTACCACGTGGTTATTGGCCTGTTAGCGCTAAAAATTGTACCACAAAATATAAAATTTTGAAGAAAACCGTGTGTTATTAAACTCGGAATTATTAAGCGTGTGTAAGGTAGTATCTCAAGGAGAAATCAAAGTATATTTAAAGAACGTTTGTTTAATAGTAATTTCAATAATACCTATAATTTAAAAACGGAATACTCATACGAATCCATAACGTACGCTTAGTGGCTTATAGATGTTTGGAAATACGGCAAGAAACAATTGAATTGGTAAAATTAGGTTAAGTATTAATTGCGCTTTAATGCTAAAGCCGTTTCGGATGAACGGCCTTTAAAGTGAACGGATTTTTTGTTTGTGAAAGACGCTGTGCTCCCATTTGAGCTGAATCAGGTAATGGGCATTGACCGGGCGTAACGAGTAAAAAGCCATAATAACTGAAGCGGGGGGGTAAAAAGTGCGCAACATTAGAAGAACCTCAAATCATGGACTGGAAGATTGAACATTCCACGCCTCAACAACGCCTCAAACAGTGCCATTCAATGCGCATTACCTTCGAGTTAGTTTACTCTAATTAAGTATTATCACGGTATTTCAAATTCTTTAAGTCTATAGTGAAGCTCATTAAACCAAACTACGGTCTCGGCAGTGGCAACAATCGAAAACTGTCCTAACGCCAGTCCAGATCACCTGCATGCGGATGATCGACACTTTTAGCAGCACGCGGACAATTTTGAAGAACACCATTCGGGCGGCCAATTTGACGATCGGAATGTTCAGTTTCTCATAGGGGCGATCCCCTCCTCCCTCATGGGTTTGGGGGGCGGGTGACCAGGACATGATGCTGGGGCCCAAACCTATCCATGAGGGACAAGACCTGAAATGTTGCCAGCACTTGGTGAAAGAAGCGGCGAAAAGCGGCGAGACCGAATTACCTGGATCATTCGAGTTCGTGCCCCTCGAAATGCGCCCTAACCTCCAAGTGGGTGGCCAGGTCGAGCACCAAATGCTGCAGCGCCGGATTCTCCAGCAGCTCGGCTTCCGGCAGGGGCGGCTGGCAGCGGGGGCGGTACTGCCGCCCCCGGAAAGCGCGATGCAAGTGCAGCACAACCTCGCAGAAAATGTAGCGCAGCAGCAGCAGCCGCAGGAAATCGTCGCCGAAAAATTGAAGATACGACAGATCTGCAAAATATTAAGCGATTAAATTCACCGTTTCACTAAATGCTACTTTGCGTTCGGCACTGGTAGGTTGGGCATGTGGAACAAGCACGCGCGGGTTACCATGACAATGATGCTTGTGCGCTCGCTCTTTCGCACAACTGATATGTCAAAGCAGGGATACCCTTGAGGCGGGAATGGGCCATTAGTGCTACCGGGTGCGTTATGAAAGTACCCGTAATCCGCAAAGGCATTTTTTCGTCGATTTACTTGCCTACACGCGCCCTTGTAAAGAGGCGGGAAGCCTCAGTGACGAACCGATCAACAAACGACTGGCAACGTTCCCAGTGATGGATGGCTATGCTGTTGATGCTACAGCAGTAACAGAAGGCGGTCAACGGTGAGTGCAGAAACAGAGTAAATAAAGACCCATTGTGTTGTTGGTCTGAAACAAAGCAATTCAAGTGTGGGCCGTAATGAGGATGTGGAAACTGTTACCTTGGAAGGCAGGAGGTGTATCTTGAGGCGACATTAGAGTAACTAGCGGCTGTCCAAAATACCTAGGTATATGTTGAAACACGAAACTATTGTCGGAGTCCACTATCACGAACAAGGGACGTCTAGTGAAGGGATAAAGGTCGCCCGGATAAACGCAGTGAACTTCTTTGGTTTTCTTGTGTTCCCCGTCGCGTTTGCTGGTGGTCGAAACGCCGCCCAGGTCGAAACCCACTGAAACGCAACAAAACGCCCATATTGATCCGATGCAAAATACCACACGGGACAGCTAAATATAGAAGCATTCGATATAAATGCATTCAAGCTGAAGAGAATGTCCACTTGTTGGCGCCTGCATTAATTGATTTGACCCAAAATACATGCATGACCAGGTTCAACGAAAATCGCCCTGTTTTATCCAGCCAGGAAAACTGTCCATTACTTACTATCCTCCGGATGTTTGGACGTGGAAAAGCAACCATCAGACGAAAGGTAGAGTAGAAGCGCCCCGTTAACAGGCAGCTCCTTGAAGCCGCTGGCCAGAAACACCAATATCTGACTGAGTGTCGGCTTGTAGAGAAGATACTTGTGGGGATTCTCCCGCCTAGAGGGCCGATCTCCATTCTCCAGATATCTGAGGCCAAACATCCACTAGACGACTGTTTTTAAGGAGCCAGGTGAAGACTCACCCTTTCTGGCCGGGCACTCCATAGGGCATGCGTCCAGGTGCCGGTGACGCGTCGTAGATATGATTGAAGTCCTCCTGAGGCTCGCGCTCCAACGTCTGGATCATCCGGAACATGTCCATGGTCAGTTCGGAGAATTTCACTTGTTCGGTAGCGCTACCCACTACCAGGATCTCTTGCAGCGTCAGGTTCATGTACTGCGACTTTTCTACTGGCGGCGTCGTCAGTGGGCTCAACCTGGTTGTTCAGAAGCGTTAAATCTCGAATTTTATGTTCAAAGCCAATGTATACATAGAAAACGGGAAAATGCTGATTTCCGTTCGATTATTTGCCTGTTTTCCTGTGTCGTCCACTATAATGTTCACTGTTATGGGACAAAGCGTTAGCTTACCTGTGGGATAAAACAATAGGGTTTGTATCCGCATGCAAGACGCTCACTAGAGAGTCGGAGGCAATAAACGCCTTGATTTCGTCCAGAACGAGGCTCCACTCGATCTGGTCGTCGGGCTCGTAGGTACTGGTGTAGTCGGCGATATGTCTGTCTAATTCTACTATCAGTTCTCTAACTAATTTCATTCGTCTAAGCAGCAGGCACACGACAATGAACCGCGCGTAGTAGCGCAGCTTCTTCACCATCAGCTCGGACCTGCAAAGGCACACACCCTAAAGGCCGGGACACATCTATCCGATCCGACTCCTATCCGACTCCTATCCGACTCCGATCCGACTCCGATCCGACTCCGATCCGACTCCGATCCGACTCCGATCAGAGAACCTTCCGCCGATGACCAAATAATCGGTCGGTGAGTGATCGATAAGGGGAAGCCACACATGTCATACACGTTTCAGTTTCCTTTCCGATTTTTGGACGATTGCAAATCACAGATTTTATAACAATTCCTAAGACTAAGTCCAAATGTATTAATGTATTAATTCATATAGACACTCGGATGGTTTACTTTGAATATCGAAAACTGAAAGCCGAACTTGATATAAGACTATTGTTTTACGTTTTTAGGCTCTTTTAGGAAACTATAGCTTGCCGAATTAAGCCAAACTTACAGAATATTTAAAAATGCTTTAACGTGACAAAAATTCTTTTTTCAGATACTTACATATTTTTACTTACATGTGTAGCGTTGTTGCTACTTTAAGCCTTGGCATGCATTTGGAGTATTCATTTTGTCCATTTTGGGCACAAAGCGAAATACTGTTTATATTGATTTCTTTTACTTTCAGCTATTTTTCTTTGCATTCTAAGAAGTTTATTTTTGGTTTGCAAAATTCTTCAATATACTGGGTGTTAGTTAATATTCTATGTTTATTTCATTTAATTAATGAATGATATACTAATCTAAGATTGTCGGTATCCGATCTGAAATTCATAGCATTGTTATGTTTTTTAATCTGTATAATTTCATGGACTCTTCTCTTATTATAATTTCTCTCGTTAATCAGTATTTTTGTGTTATCAACATCAAAATTATGCAACTTCTGTTGTACATGCTGTGCTAATGCTGTACCATTTACGTTATTTTTTCTTAGGCTATACTTATGTTCTTATATTCTTTTCTTTAGATATTGTCCTGTTTGACCTATGTATGTGTTATCACAATTGAAACAGTATATTTTGTAAATTACATTAGGCGTGTCTAACTTGTCAATCATAGGTTTAAATTTTGTGAAACATTCATTTGCTAAGTTGTTTTTAGTTTTTTCTGCTATTGATATTATGTGGTTTGAATATATTTTTTATTTTTGTGTTAATTTCCGAAATATATGGTAATGATATATACTTGATATCACCTTCTCTTCTTTTATTTATGTTTTTCCATTTAGTTGAATTGTATATTTTATTTATCCTTTGCT